ATCTTACTCTTGTCTCATTTAGATTGGATACGTCGCAGTACTATATTATTAGCTTAAGGTTGCTGCATATAATTTTAAGTGGCTAATATTTGCCAAAATTAATGAAATTGGAATTCAGTTGAATAAATTAATAAAAACAAGTTTATTATTATATCTTTCCCCTTGAAAATAAATAATTTTGAATAAATGAGACAGTAACTAAAATTTAAAAATCTAATTTAGTAGAAATATAAAGCGTGCTTGAGAGACGAACATTGGGTTTATTGTTCATCAACATTTGTAAGAAATATATACAAAGTAGGAATTTTCAACTTTTACCAAAAACGGTTACCCTTCTTACAACATCATGGAGCGATAAGTAATGGGGATAATTCAGGATAAAAATTAAAAAAAATATATTGAATATTGTCTTAGACCGGAGATCTCGCATACCAAATCAAAGGAGCCAAAACTTGTCAGGGTTATGTTACTTAATTTTTAACACCTTTGCTCGTAAAGCTGATGTAATTCCACCGCTTTTAAATATGTAAAGCAGGTCATAAAAAACGCGTGTGTTACCAAAGCAAAATGTTAACTTATGTTAACTTATTGAGTAACTTGTAGATTGTTGTAAATGTAATGGATAAGCGCCGTGGCCCGCGAATGTTTTTGACAAGCAACTTTAGCAAAGGTTCGTTCTTGGGACGGGTGACCAAAAATTTAATTTCGAACTACTCCGTGCTTTGGAAGGCACGTTAAGCCGTTGGGCCCGGCTGGATTTGCAGTCGTTTATACTCTCCAATCCGTATTGGGCCAATATGGTCCATCCTCCTTAACCATCCATAAGGAAGGCCTAAGCCCCTGCAGTGGAGACGTAAAAGACCTGATGATGATGAAAATCTATGTCAAGACAAACTGTAGCCCGAATCCGATAGGTAGTTTCGTTTCATTACATATTTCCCATAGCAACTTTCCGGCTTCATCAGATCAGCTTCATACCTTATAAAAATTGTATTGTCATTTAAGTTAACGATATAATATGCGTGAAAAGCAGGAAGTGGGTCGGAAGCTTTCAAGATTTGATCTGCACTAATAAACTAAGTACACGGCAACTTAAATAAAAACTTATAAAAAGAAAGGGTTTTATTTAAAGAACATCATACTATATTTTATTTTTTACTATGGGAAATGCGTTACTGCACACCTTGCTTCCTCTGCGCGGGTCCACGTGGTTATGTGGGGTTCGCTTCTACGGATTCGCCCCCAGAATGGAGCTCATAATACAGGAACATAGCCACTAAAATCTATTAGTGTCCCTCTCTATGGCAGGCGATGCGCGGTAAAAGCCGAAGAGCTTGCAGGGCGAGACGTACTACCAATGATATTAATATGTCTAGATACGCAATACATACCAAAAATCTGAAGCTACTAAAACTAAGACGTTTGAGTTAGTTTTTCGTTTTTCACTTCAGTACTTATTCAACTCCCGCCGAGAAAGTACAAAAAAAAATGCTCCACAAAAACGAAGAAAAACAGTGGAAATATACGATTCTCTCTCATAAGTACACATAATACGAAAGAATATTAAGTTTCACACTTAAGTCATTAAAATTTTTGTCAATAAAATTAAAATTAAAGCAAGTTTATAAAATAAAAATAATAAATTTTCACAAATAAAAATTTGACATTTTTATCGTCAGTGTTGCCACTGCTATTCACTTTCAATTTTCCCAACTATATGGGAGCCTTTTCTTTTTATTTTACGCGACTATAATTTATCTCAATATCTTCTTTTAATTGATTATATGGCTTAGCTTAGCTTTAGTATAGGCAACTGCGCAAATTGTGTTGATAATTTTATCATATACGCACACAGATGCTAGTGGTTTAATTTTTTAAAGTTAATTTAATTTTTTTAAGGTGTGGAATTCGTTAGTTGTCGAGATACAACTTTTGAAAATACGTAAAATTGAATCTTTGTTTGATGTTTTATGAACTTTGACAAATATTTTTGTCTTAAACACGATTCGATTTATATGCACAGAGCCTACTTTCGTGATTGTTTTTTTCAAAGAAATTTTCAAAGTTACAGTATTTATTACATATATCTACATTACTCGTTCATTCATTCAATCATCATAATGGGTGTAATTTTCGAAAGCGGGCAATACAATACCAATAACCTACCCATTTTTCCGTTCATTATATCGCATGATATATCGCACATATTCTGTCTTTGTTTAATTTAAAGTTTAATCGTAGATATGAGGGAGACAAATATAATAAATCTATTTGTAAAGCTACGTCCTGATTTCCGAAAAAGTGCTACGCTTTTTGTTGTATGGAATTGCTTCTATAGTTATTAAACTCATTGCCTAACCCCCAGACAGGATAAGTGAGGTAAAATGTCCGGTAAGTGCGTGAATCTACCAGGCTGTCCCTTGTCAAAGACGGGAGAGAAAATAATTGTAAATTGCATTTAAAATTGGTAAAAGTGATTTGAGATTCATATTTAGTATAATTAGCTAGCGTTTACAAAATGGTATTTCCCAAAATCAAAATGTTTGAATTCTCATAATTTTAAATTTATTTACCTCTTTAGTTATATAATTGCATAAGATAAATAAGTCAAATCGATATTTATTTATATTATTTATCTTTTTATTAATTTTAATACGTTAAGTAATACTTTTAGTTTTCTCTCTATTAGAAAATTGTATTGGATAGTTAGAAGAGATACTTCATGTATGTAAAAATGAGTATTTTTTATTGAAGCACATATTATAATTTAATACTATCATTTATTTTGTACTGTTGTATGAACACAATTCTACTCTTTTAAATCGTTTATTTCCGTATTTTTATAAATATTTCCTTTGGAACTCGTAGATATATTTCAAATAATCGGTTTTAAAATTTCCTTCTTGAAAGATATTGTCGATAGAATCACATAAGTCCGCGTTCAAACGACGTTCATGACAGTTGCGATCGCGATCATTTTGGGAGAAGACTAGGTATACTAAAGGCAAAATTTCCGTCGGTCTCCACTAGATAGTGATGGCCACGTTAAGTGGCAAAATGTCACCAGATCGCCGATAAATACGCGTAAACAACTAATATTATGAAGAGGTAAAGATTCTGACTTTGGTTATTTGTTTGTAGGTGGTAATCTTGAACATTAAGAGTAGGCCTGCTACAAAGTGGGGGGCAGAGTAGGGCTCGGCCAGAAATGTTGGCTGGGCATTTAAAAAAAAAAAAAAAAAACATTAAGAGTAAGTTTAATGTACATAAAGTAACTTATTTGCAGACAAATGACTGTATATTTGATCAATCAATTCGATGACTATGATATTTGATCAAATATAATAATTAGAACAGATTTTCATCTTTATCGAAAGTTTCAATATTTGTAATAATATTTTATCGGCTGTTTGGGTGGATGCCTGAACATTGGTGAGACTGCGCTCTGTAGTAGCGAGAAGTAACAAGTACTTGAAAAATTCGTCGGTCCTGTTAGGTCCTGGGTAGCTCAGTGGTTAGAGCAGTCGCCCGGAGTGCGAAAGGTCGTGGGTTCGAATCCCGTCTCAGGGTGTCAGGACCAAGTGGATTTTTAAATCATTTTGTATTAAGAATATTTAAATACTGTCGTTAGACTGATCAGAAGTTAAAGTCGTTTTTTCTGAGTGCAAAAATATCTTTAGATTGCACGCGGCCTTAATGATACGGCAGCTCCATTTCCGATAATGGACCGAATAAGACTCGAACATAGCATTGCACTAACGTTTTATTTAGTGTAAACAAAAAGAATTCACTATTGGCGGTTGTTTGTTCCATTTGTATTTTATACTTTTCTACCTGTACGTATGTAGAAATACACCTCTCTTTGTTTAAAAAAAAATGTAAATATTTTTTGTAGAAAACGATAAAGAAGAATTAATAATTTTACTTGTATGTATAAAATGTTTCACGATTTAATTATGGTAATATGAAACAACGTAAGTACCACAACACCTAGACCTGATATAGAAAAGTACATTTTACTATAATGATCCGACTTTGAATTAATCCCGGGATATCAGCAGGGCGAACGCCTATCTACTCTAGATATAACGACGACCTCCGTAGCCGAGTGCTTCGCATGCCGGTTTTAAAGTGTCGCCATCTCTGAGGTCCCGGGTTCGATTCCCGGTCGGTATGTAGAAAATGAACTTTTCTATATTGTCTCGGGCCTGGGTGTTGTGATACTTTCGTTGTCTCAGATACTTCATAATAAGGGGACTTTAGCTATTCATCTTGGAATCTGAGCAATGTATGTGATGTTGTCTGTTTTTTTTTTTTTAAAGCCATATGATACTACATCAGCAGACCAAATCTGCTAATGTCTACGTAATAAGCGCATATCAATAGAATCTGGACGACAATTTTTATACCATTGTACTATCTACCCAAAGGTCAATATTATTAGTGTAATATTTCCCTCACACATCAATGGAGACTTCGTGTAGAGGATTAGTTAAGTATACTGAACAATTTTGACACTGAATTCACGAAAAAAGCAATACTTACAATCATTTCCATCTTCTTGTCTCTGGAGAACCGCCTCATTTCTCAGCCTGTCAGTTCACGATATTTTCAGTATTCTCCTGTACATTTCCGCATTTCAAAGGCCTGGATACGTTAACACATGGTTTCCGTGACGGTCTAAACCTCGACACCATACATAAGGATGAAGAAGATCATAACATCTAGCTATCCGCGTGGCCAACTTTAGGGAGTGGTTCATCAGAACACTGTCCATTCTCGTGAACGCATTTGGTGCCTATTCCATACGACATTTTATTTCTACGGTATGATCTCCCAGCTCGTTAACAACGTATCCAAGATATTTGTAGGTGCGAACCTTTTCTATTGGTTAGCCTTGTATGTGTAAGGTTGGGTTGAGCACATTGACGTTCAACAATCATAAATTTGGTTTTCGGTGAAGATGCAAAGAAATACACTGAATTATGCAAAGAAATGCATCATTCAGTGAGACCATAAGTACTGCTAATCTTTTCTATACGAGTTACCATATGCTGTAAGCCATCTATATTTTGAGCTAGCAGAATGGTGTCATCTGCATACCGCCCATTTACAATGATACCTTTCGTTGCATTCTCGAGTGCACCAGTAAAAATATTTTCAGCGTAGGTATATGTTAAACACGAGCGGTGGTAGTATGCAGCCTTGTCGAACTCCGCGCATGATCTCGATATCATCAGATAAGTATTGTTCCATTCATACTCTTGCTTTCTGATGCCAATAAAAAATTTGGATTATTGTGATATCGCTGGTATTGAGACCGATTTCATGTTTCTCCAAAATATATGCCTGCTGTTAAGGGGTGACGTTTGATTGGAAATTATATATCTGCATCTTAATAAAGACAGCCTTGAAATAACGGTAGTTGCTTAATAGCTAATAACTTACGCCCCGTGTAAGACGAACGTGAGATCCATTAGCGTATCTATGATGTTTCTGAATATATAAAAGACAATAAATGAAATTTCATTAGCTCTAATGATATCTCGTTATGCGATAACCACTTCCATTTTGTTTTTAAGTCTATTAAAAATAAAGCTGGGTAGTCAGAATGTGAACTCGGCCTGTTTTGCCATTTGGACAGCATTTGGACGATCGAGTTACTGTAACATCACAGATACATTTATTTATTTTACCAGTCAGTTTCTTTTTTTTTATGAGGTAGGAGGCAGACGAGCAGACGGATCACCTGATGGTAAGTGATTACCGTCGCCCATGGACACCTGTAACACCAGAGAGGCTACAAGCGCGCTGCCGGCCTTGGAGGGAAGGGTTGAGGGGTAGAGGGAACGGAAAAGGGAGGGTTTGGGCCTCCGGTACCCTCACTCACACGACGAAACACAACGCAAGCGTTGCTTCACGTCGGTTTTCTGTGAGGCCGTGGTATCACTCCGGTCGAGCCGGCCCATTCATGCCGAAGCGTGGCTCCTAATCCAGAGCGAGTTTTACGTTAAAGTTAGTATCTAGCCAATTGTTCTAATGGTCAGTGTATATGTGATGGAAGATACATTTCATATAGTCAGAAACTCAGAAACTAAATGAATGATATTCAACCTTGCACACTTGTCGAAATTTTGGCGCGTCCCAACACATACTTCCGTGAAATTCTTGACGAATATTTCTTCAGATTTGTATTCTCCCTAAATTTTAATGCTTAATATTTGAAATTACATGCCGATGCTTGTGTCGAGCTTAAGCAAACTGTACATTTTACTCTTTGTCTAACATAATTTAGAACGCAATTTGCAAAAGACTAATTACCTCGTAACGTGTAACAGAATTTAAACGTATTTGATTATAATACTGAGCTTTAAATGCTTAATGACGATTTGTAATGGTCTCTTACAATGTATTTCGTAAAATTGTTTGTTTAAAAATTTGGGTACTAAAATTATTCATCATTTTCTTATAAATCTCCTTTCTGTGGTATAGGTCGTTGGATAGAATCATATAGGTAAAACGGGCTGGAGATGAGTGTCCCAGTGGTTACGGCTTCATCCGCCAGATGGGTTGGGGGATTTTGGTGGGTAGATCTCAGAGGGTTCATCATCAACTCTAGAGGTGAGTTCATATAACTTCATCGTTGGCCAGCATTTCTCCAACACTAAAAAAAAAGGTAGAACAGGAGATTACCCGTCACGCTTGATAGGTATTAACGGCAGCAACGGATAAACGTGCTTTGTGAAACATGGAGAAGTTAGAGCTCTCGAATCTAACACATCCATAATAAAATTTCCAGATACAGTAAGTAAACCTATACTATGGATACTAAAAAATGTAATTACATGTTTAACTGTTGCTGTACTTTAAATAAATAAATACTTTAGTATGCATTCAAGCGTATTATTGTAACATTATGTGTTACGAAAAGCTCTATTCAAGTTAGTTTCAATGGAATAAAATTCACAATATAAAAAGTCGGCAAATTGTGAATGGAATGCTTTCACAAAAGGTTCTGTACCAACACTCAATATTTATTATTTGTTAAGTTATTATATAAGTATTCTGTGACAGCTTCATCTGACTACTACCTATTGTGATACAAATGACATCCCTCATTTATAATGACGAAAACAATGCATTATTTTAATACATCATAAATAATAACTTGTAGGAAAAAACTCTTACTTATAAATTATGTTACCTTTTTTTATATCATATAATCGTCATTCGTATCAAATGCAATCTTAATGCTGACCGCGACCCTCAGTGATGAGAAATCAAGTAGAAGAAAGACATTTTTCAAGTAAGTATGCGTTTATTATGGTTAAATATTCAATTATGTATATGGTTAAGGAGTATAAGCCCTCAAGGTATCTTTTATTTTTTTTTAAACTTATTTTTATGGTTATCTACAACGGATAACGCAACTTTTGAGGGTTCTTGAGTAGAAAAAATCGAAAAATACATTTTTCGGGACACCCTATTGTGGAACCCTGAAATGTGAGGAAATCATTCTCTCATAGAACTTTTCTATATATTGTGCTGTAGGGTCAACATGGAGGAAAAGTTTTATTTGTATTCGTATATAAAACGGGTTCTATGACAAATAAACTACTTACATATATTTATTGCAAAAAGGATAATAAAGAGATTCAATGTGTTCGTGGGGCATAGTAAAAAGATTAAAGACATGTCGCTTTATAAGTTGCGGGATTGTCATTTGTTTTCCATACTGATCGATAGAATCGAAGACAATTTTAAAGCTTGTATATAAAGATAAAAAAAACGGATCCAGTGCAAAATCACTCGGTTGACCGTTTGTCTGTCCTAATGTCTGTCAAAGACGATTTGCTCCAAAACTATGTACTTTTAAAATTTATAGTATGCCAGTCATCTTATTTTCCTATTATCAGTTTTCTGGGATGTTCTACATAGTTTTTACGCTGCGTCCTAGTTTTTAAACAGAGTCTTGGTTTTTGAGCAGCGTTCGGCGTTTTAAGGTGCTTTATTAGATAAGGTAATATATTTTAAAATTTTTGTGGTTATTTTGCAATCGATCCTATTTTAGATGTCGAAGTGAAAAAAAAGACTTTCTATGACCTGTTTTGTCCTGGGATTTCTATTTAACAACTTATTTTTCGAAAATTGTCATTGACAGCCCTTAAATTGCGCTGCAATTTGTACATCCTTTTTGGACTTCAAAAACAATCTCTGCCTTGTAATTATATGTTTTAATTACACCGTTGAGGTGATATTATTGTAATGGCAACACAGATGTTGAGTTCGCATAATGACTGTAATTGTACATTACAGAAGCTTTAGTCTTAGTGTTTAACTTAAGTTCTCGTCCAACTTACTCTCCAAAGGCCCCTTTATGCCATATAGCTAAACCATGAACGCACTAACATTCTCTCCAAGGAGACCCCGCAGTATTGTGATATGGACCAAGTTCTGCCTTAATATACTATTGTGAGAAAGTTCACTAGTTTACATGCTCAAGACTCGGGAATTGTTCTGTATAAGTAGCTATCCATTCAAAAATAACATTCGTCTATGTTTATAAATGAAATTATAAAGTAATTGCTGACGATGATATGTCATTTCTCGTTTAATAGTAATTACAGTGTCAATGGAAAAGTTAACAGAACATGTTCTATTTAAATATTGCATCAAAGAATGACGTATAAATCTGGAATTGGAAGGATGTGGATCAAGGCGGGAGATTGTATGAATAGTGACTTTCCTTATTACTAAAAATGAATCACCGAGCAAAATACCAAAATGTCATGGCCGTACCCAACTAATTGTGGGACCAGCTATCTAACCAAAAACATTATATAGTATAGAACAATGTATATATATATCTATAGTATATGGATCAGCAACATAAGTTTTGCGAGCTGCATGCGCCTCTTTCGATGTGAAATTGCCAAAATTTCTAAACAATAGCAATATTGCATGCCGTAGTGTGTATGTTGCATAAAATTTATATCTTATTCCACCTTTATCAGTTCTTTGTTTTTCACGCAGGCGGGTTTTTGTTTTTTTTTTTAGATTTTATTGTCGTAACCTTTTATATCGTGTAATCAAATCGATCGTGTAATTGATAAATTACGGTGAATAAACGAGCTTTAATGCTTGTTATCTAAGCTATTTCTTTTTAAAATGTAATCTGACTGATGGGCTATCAAACAATTTCATTTATTTTTATAACGGTCAATTATATTTTTCCGTTCTCTGTAATCAATGGTTGTTTTTTGTTCTCGATGCTTCCGTCGTTGACAACGCCTCTTTGCTCTAATTGACCGTTGAACAAGGCATGCACCTACTTCTCTTTGTGAGTTAACAACTCCACAATATTGGACACTATTTTATTTTCACTCACTGTAGTTTTAATTGAAGTATGCGTAGTGTTAAGTGCTAGATTTTTACTTGTATTTACTATTTGTTCATTTTTTTATTCGCAGTGCTATTTTGGTAAATATTCTTAATTAAAAATGCTTATAAATTCAATTTGCTCCGAGGTTACTCTGAGATGGAGATTGAAACCTCGATTTTTCGCAATCCGGGTGACTTCTATATTTTACAAAATTGATCAAATATAATGATAAGAACAAAATTTCATCTAAATCATAGTGGATTAAGAATATTGAATTTACTATTTCATTATTAATGAAACAACGGTTTCATCGCGTTTATATGTAGTTTTATTGACGTTTCGGACCCTTATGTGAACACGGAAACTTTATAGTAATATTCACTTTTATACGAGTCATTTTTATAGTAATATTTAAACAAAATTTAAACAAAAGGCACTAGGTAAGATTACGTGAAAAAAAAAAGTTAATATATGTACGTTTCAAATAAATGACTGGTGTATAGAAAAAGTGTTTGTCCACTATGGAAATAAAGTTCTTATTCGTTTTTTTTAGGGACTAAATAGTTGATAGAGGTTACATTGTTGGAGTTATGTACATCTGTTAAATTGAGTCTAATTTATTCAATTAAATGTGTTTCACTAAAAAAAATTCTTAGACATACATACATCTTATTTGTATTATATCGGTTCAGAAACTACTTTAAAGATTTTGAAAATTCTTTCACCTATGGGAAGCTTCATCATACTTGGGTGATACAGGCTGTTATTTACGGGTGAAGTCATAGGAAAATGAATTTAATGTATATTCTCCTAATGTTACAATGGTTTTATAAAAAACCATCAGTAATATTGTCACAAGAGCTCGACTTTTCCATTATCACAAATTTTTATTCAGTTAAGGATAAATTGTGGCTATTGTTAAGAGCTATAGCTTTTCTATAGAAAAGGAAAGGAATAAAAGTGACGCGTAAGGGTTCACTCCAGAAAGTTTCTTTAACTTTTCGGAATAAAGGAAACTAAATTTTCTATCCCGTGAATGTAAGATCTGAGAGTAAAAACTTTTATTTATAACCTATTGAAATATATTGTTCGTTCTAGCTATTGAGCGTACTTTTATTTATAACCTATTTACTTCAAATATTATGCTGGAGTGATAATTTTATATTTCTAGCCATTGGGTGTATTCACATTGTAACTTCACGATATCGTGGGACTGGTAGTTTAATACATTCACTACTAGATGCTTTTACAATATTTCGATTGTCGTGCCGATATCGGCTGATGACATAGTTTTTCGCCGTAAATATAATAGATAAAGCAAATGTAACTTATTCACTGCTGCCCTTATTACCTCTAATATTCTGTTACTTATTACTCTTTTGGAATCACACGGTTACTTTGGCTGACTGCTAACAAGCTATTAGATATCGTGTCACTGGCGATATCGTGACGATATCATAACGATTTCGCTGTCGATATTTGAGTATATTGTTGTGGGTTACCGTCGCAGTGTAAAAATACCCATTTTGGTCAGTCCCACAGGGCTATTTTGCAAAAAAAAGTAGCCTCAAAGACTATGTCAAATCAGCTCAAATAAGAAAATAGAATCTACTTCAAAATGTCATAAAAGTTTTTTGATTGAACTTCGATGTTGTTATACTGCTGTTGGCTGTACTTGATGTTGAAGTCAGTTCAAGGTTTCTTAATTAAAGAATAGCAAAGCTGTACTGCAAAATGACTGAATCGGTAGACGAAAGTTGAATGAAAATTATGATTATATCATTATGACGCGTTCTATTTCACGTAAATAGAAACTGAATCCAAAAACATTTAGGCTATTTAACACGTAAGTTATTAAGCTTTAAAGAGCTAATTTTTGTTACAGTC